TCTGCACATTCTCTTCCTTTGCTGGTTCTTTCCCAAGTCTTGCTGGTTTTCCTCAAGTCTGGCTGGTCTGTTTATCCAGTGTTTTTACATGGCCTAGCGCCTGCTAAACATTTACACTTTTGTTGCATTCCGGCCTATGGCCTGAGCTATTGCCTGAATCATTGTTCTGTGTCTTTCACCTATTTATTTATTTATTTATTTTATTTATTTTCATATATTTTGTTAGTTTTTTCAAATATCAAGCCAATAGATTAATTATGGAGCTCCCAACTGGTCTTTCATTTTAACCCATGGTGCTAGGCAAAGTGCCATCCTGGCCCTAGCACTACATATACCTTTAAATCTCCCCAATTTCGTATAGTATCTCACATCCATGGTCATTTCTCGAGAACGAGAGCGAAATTCAAAATTTTAACAGAGGTAATTCCGGAGAATTCTCTTCAGCAGCTTCAGGTCCATTTTCAAGCGAATCTGTCCATTCCCCTCGGATATTTATGGATTTTACTGAACCCAAATTTCGTATTTTCATCGACCACAGCTATACTATGTGCATTTTCTCCTCTTTTGGCTGGACCGTTCACAAATGACTGACCCATCAACATAAGAAAATGTATGAAGGGTCTTTTGACATAAAAATGGTAAAATACCGTTCTGTCATTGGGGAATGACTGTCTTTTAAAGGAAAATAATGGGGAACATCACGTCGTGCAGGCTGGCTGTTACAAGTAGTGCACTTCCTCCCCTCACGCTCCTCCTCACGCGCTTGCACCCGGATACCCCGAGCTACTGAAACCAGTGCGAGACTTAGGGCGCCAGAAAGTTGCATGCAATGACTGGCGCCTCCTTATAGACGTTTTCGTCCTCTCGTCCTAGGCCCTTTCGTCCTTTGACAGCGTGTCGAGTGCCGAGTCCCAGGCGGCTAGTTATTGGGCTAAGGTTGTAAAGGGGCGAAAGTTAAACGATCCTAGGAGGCAGTCATTAAGTCCGAAAACAAGTTTCTCGGGTTGAGGGAGGTCAGCTTAGATGCGGGAAAGGAGGGCGGGGTGGGAATAGGTGTGAGGTCGGCAGGACAAACTCAGGCCGTGTTGAAAGGGAGAGGGAAAACTTGGGCCCTTGTAATCGTCTGCGACTCGAACGTCAGGTGTCTTGAGGGAGCGATGGAAAAAGATTCAGGTACTCAGGATTCTTTCAGTCATTTTCCCGGTACTAGGATCGAACACATTAGAGATAGGATCGGATCGATGGTGTGCTCCGAGTCGGCCGAGGAGGTGTCGGTGGTACTTCACGTAGGGACTAACGATACTCCCAAGTCTGGCTCTGAAATCATCATGGGCAGGCTGAGGCAGGCTATTAGTATGTGTCTGGAGGCAAGGTCGGGGAGGGGAAGACGGTATGCGCGATCCCGAGCTGGCTAGAGAAGGGAGGAATTACGTGGTCCAGCTCGGAAGGGGTTAACGACATGTTCGAGGAGTTATGTATCGCGGAGGGGGCAGTGTTACTGGACACTAGGGATGCTTTGAGTCACTGTAGAAGTCCGATGCCTAGGGATGGAGTACATTTTTCGAAAGAGGGAGCATGTAGCTGTAGGATTGGCTATCATGAAAGAAATGAGCCTTTTTTCAGGGTTGTAGATGGGGGGGCAAGGGATCACAAGCAACGGACTGCCGCTACGAGCAGCTTTAGACTAACGCGTACTGGTGTGCAGGAAAGACAGGTAAGTATCAAGTGTTTCTACGCTAATGCACGCAGCTTACATAATAACATAGACAAGCTTAGAGGGCGGGCACTGGTCAACGGTTTCGATGTCCTCGGAATAACCGAGACTTTGGGTAGTTCTCACATTTCGGATAACGAATTGGAGATCGAAGGGTACGAAACCTTGCGGAAGGCTAGGCTCGGCAGAGAGGGGGCAGGAATCCTGTTGCACGCTAAAACTGAAATGGGCGTTCGCGTCAGACATGATCTCACCTCAGCTAACTAGAGCAATCGAACACTCATGGTGCGAGATCGGTGGGGCAACTTGGAAGATCATGATAGGAATTTGCTATAGGCTCCCTAACTCTTTTAGAGGATAAAGCAACTTATTTTGCACTCATGCGTAGGATCGGCGAGATCTCGAAGCAGGTATTGCTCTTCAGAGACTTTAACATGCCAAAAATAGATTGGTCGGTGCCGCAAGTGGGGTGCGAAAGGGATAGGGAATTTCTGGTTGCAGTTCATGACGCTCTTCTCGTTTAGTACATGAACGAACCGACTCGCGAGGAAGCTTCATTGGATTTAGTTTTTGCAACTAACGACAATCTGGCGCTACACGTTAAGGAACAGGAACAAGATTCAATTAAAATTTTCAGATTCAATTAAGGAATTGGGCCCTGAAGTGCTGCATATTTGTCTGACGTGTACTCATGTGGGGTGTCAGTGACAGAGGTGAGCGGACGCCAGTATAACCTGTCCCATAAGCCATCTAGCTGGCAATTCAAGTCAGGAACTCTGCACATGTAACACGGAAGCCAGCATTCGCGTTCCTTTTATTCTTTCAGCCTATCATTACATATATTTTTGTTAAATCTCTCATAATGATTGAACTTATATGGAAATTGTAAGGGTCTACCAGGCCTGACCCCTATCTCATGTGCGTCGCATGACACTAGATGGGAATATGGCCAAATGGTTGGAATACCTTCCTGGAATGTAGAGCACTGCGCATTCTCATGATGGAATTTTAGCCATTTGGCTGTTTTCCCATCCTGTGGGTAGAAACCATACACAATGCTTACTATACAGGATGGGAAATGGGCCTTTTGGCTGGCTTCCCATCCTGTGACGAGGCGTGCCCATTTTGCGCATGTCAGATAAACTTCCATTTTTCTTCTTCACCGTCAAGAATAGGGCCAATATGCTCAAAACCTACCTGTGCTGAGCTATATGGAATGACAAAACGTGAGTAACACATCAAAATCCTTTATTATTGAATCTGAAACGATACTTCCTGGGAAGCTAAAAAATGCATGGGCAAAACCAGGAGCTTGAGAAGGAAGTCTTTAAATGCACATGCTTAATGAGCAGCGAACTGTTATGGACACTGCGAAACAGGGGATATCATAGAATACATCAATATACAAAAACGCTATGAAATATCATTGGCATTACAGAACACTCGAGACATTTTCATGGAAGATCAGAAGACACCACCGCCATCCTCTTTCCAATCCGCAGCATTTTCTCGGCCGACCTGGAGATTCAATGCAGAAAAAAATATTGTCAGGACATTTGAAAATATATTCCCTTCACTTATATACAAATAAATGGCTAGCTTCGATTCTGCCAAAAACATTTTCCATTTGCATTCTCCTGGTAAGTAAACCATGCTAAACTGATATATCCCATTATTCTGCAAAGTACAAAAATGTGCAATATTTAAATGTCAATACATCAAGCACGGGAAACTGGATAAAACTCAACCTTAACCTTTGAGTGAAAACACTTATGGATATTCTGTCGATTTTCCCCACTCTTCCGGAACTCTCTACATTCCCTATCCCCTACAGTTAGGAAGAAACAAAAGCTTTAATTTCGTTCACGTATCTTGAACTCTGAAGTCTTGAGCATTTCGGTGAAAATTCTCGCTGCATTGATGAGGAATACCATGCCAAGGCCAGGTGATGGTTTGCTTGGAGACGGCATATACAGTCAATCACTCCTGCAAGATCAGGGAATTTTTCACAATCGTTGCAATGCCATGTGTGAAATGGCAGGAATGGTATTGCCTTAGCTGAAGCATCAAGTGCACTTGGCTGAAGTTAATATTGGAATTAATATATTTAGGGATAAGGCAATACTTGCACATTAGCTTTCATGAATATAAAGCACTTGCCCTAGTTCACTTCTGAAGTCTCTGCATGACGTTGCATTCTTTGATCTGTTTCCTGATAGAGCCGCCTTACTTCTTCTCTTGTTTCACTCCTTAGCAGTTGTTTCTTGTCCGTCAGAGTGAAGCCCCACAGGAGGAGAGATTCTCGAGGAACGGACGAAATGCTTCCAGCCCCTGTCATTGGGTTCCATGTCTTCTCGTAAGTTCCCTTGTACCAGTGGATGGCCACTTGCTTCTCGTCTATAGAGGCTATCTTTCCTATCCATGGTCGGGATGATTTCTCCTCCGTATAGACAACAGCCAGCATACCTATGTGAAGATCTTCAGTCCCGGCACATATGCCCAGTCTCCGACTCCCAATCGAACCAATGATAGGCTGTGAATGGAATACAGAAAATTAAGCTTCGAGCTCAGCATTGAAAGGAGGATCTATTTGTGCAACCTTTGGGTGCAAGGCTGATGCCTTCAACCTGGAGAAAATGTTCTCACCTGTTGGAATGGTCCAAGCAGTTGGCTTCTCATGTTCGTCAGGTAGGATTGCATGGCTGGGGTGATGTTAGGATTGAGTTCAGGTGAAGTGTTCTTATGGTCTCTTAACTTCTGAAGATACAATCTAGGTTCCTGTGAATAAATCGATACACATTCGATTTTAATACCATACATTGCTTGTATTATAAGACTCTTCATACAATTGACATTACCATGGATTGCTGGGTATCTGGAGAGAAGACACGCCAAGCATGAATTTTATCCTCAGACATCTCTGGAAAGTAACTATGGATGGACGCCTTCACAAGTTCCAGTCCAGCTGAATTCCAATCAGGTGGTACCAGAACACAGAAGACATGGAGTTCTGGTGTTGTCTGAGGAAAAAGAAATGAAGCAGAAAAAGTGAGGGTAAGGGAAAGCTTTATGTACTTTTAGTTGGGATGCACTTCATGAGCACCTGCTACACTCTCAGAAGGGATATTCCATCTACATTCCAAATGCAAAAGCAATGTTCGCCTTTAGGAACCCCCTTGAACTTCTAAAATTGAAATCAATTTTTAGTATGAAAACAAAGTATATTGTAAGGAATAATGACAAAAGAAGTTGGTCAATCGTCATGGCATTATCCTCACCTGTAGACAGATATAACCAAGATCTGGGCCAAGACATTCCCTGACGTATTGATTATCATGCTCATTAGGGCACCAGGCTTCTCCAGCATGCATTCGAACGTGCATTTGTGTGATTCCGCTGGATTTCCGGAACCGGAATGAATGAGGCTTGGTCTGACCGCGAAAGTGACGGGGGAAATGATTCTGTATGACTCCCTTGAAGTTGTGAACTACATCCAATTCCTCAGCCTGAAGATGCTGAGGTCTCCCTCTCCCTTTTATCTCTCCCAAGCATGTCATCAAATCTGTCATTTAAAAAAGGCAGAAATAAATACATTAGAATGCAAAATTCAGAATTGAACCAAATCAGAGACTAAATATAAAAACATGAAATTACCATTTACTGTGCACGTATCCCTAACCCTCAGGTAGTGGTTCACCGAGCTGAAGAGTTGATCAATATCTTCATGAGTGTGTCCAACTGGGTGGAAGTTGAATAACACCTTTAAAAAGGAAAACAAAATCAGCTCAAAGTAGAGCATTCCAAAACGTCCGTTGGAAACATGGAAATATATTTAAAAAGAAGCATGTCTGAAAGTGTCGCTCACCTCATCAAATATTCCTTCCTCCACCAGTAGATGTGCAAGTGCGCAGAGGTACTTGTTCTTGTTCTCCCTGGTGCAATTATCCATCTGCAGGAAGAGTTTTGGCTTCAAATCTTCCTTCATACGGAGTAGGGTTCGAAGAATGACTTCAATGGTCAAATTGGAATCATGTGGGTATTGACTCATGTCCACATAAGCGAACTCACGAATGCCCTTGCCTGTGTACACCATCACTCCTGAAGGGTACATATGAACATGATATTCAAAATCTCACTTCATGAATCCATATATCAGCAGGATCACATAAAAAAATGAACTAAGAAAAATAGAGCTAGCAGGGATGAAGGAAAGTTGAGAAGCTTGAGTTCTTTTTAAACTGCAGTTTCTGCAGGGAAAACGTGTTTCAGGAGGATATTGCATACAGTATTACTGGCTTTGTCATGAGATTCTGAAATGGACGTATCATTGCTTAATTGCAGTAGGCTTTAGCTTAGAAGCAATTCACATTGAAAAAATGTTGAGGGTTGCATCACCTGCAATATGAGTGACAAGCTTTGGCAAGCTGTTGGTATGCTTGTCCTCCTGGGCGAAACGCGGCACATTAGTTTTCTTTTGGTCCATTCCATCGACCACCATTGTCATCCATTCGCTATCCTCCAAAGCCAGAACCTTGTGGTGCGTGTAGTTGGATCGCTGCAATCTGTTGACCAAGAGGTACAAACAAATGAGAAACTACTATAAGAGGCATTTATAGGATGTGTAGGATAACGTACTCTGCCATTTTTAAATGTGTTTCACGAAGTTTTTCCAGATCTCTTCGGGCATCCCCTGTCACCACTCTCCACTGTTTCTTGATTTGGGTGCATATGCCACAACTGAGGAAGGCGTTTGGCTGTGTTTAAAGAAGTAAGATCAGAATGAATTCATCAGGAAACATAATAGAAAGATGCCAGTTGCCTTTCATTCATACAGTAAATGTATGCCAGAGTATGAACCTTTCTCACCTTTGCAACTGAGACGTTCATGTCCTTTAGGAGAGAAGTGAATCGGACGTACTTGAGAAGGCTCTCTCTCGGACATCCCTTCTCTACACATCCTTCCTGCATGTTGCGATGAAGTTGCTTCATTGTGAATCCCTGGACATATATCCTTTTGGTTGGGCATGGTGAATGCTCTCCATGGAGTGTGAGGAAGTTCATCAGCCACGCTCGAGCGAATTCAGCCTTTGGCTTCCTCCTTGGCAGCTTCGGGAAATGAGACCTTTGTCTCCTTTGCAGCTTGTTCCATTCTTTCTGAGTTACATTGAATAAATTCAAGCAACAGAGTCTGCAAAGGTTGACGCCTTTGTACAAAAGCATCTGACGACTACGAGAGGAGTTTCTATGGATCAAATCAGATAAAAACTTTTTTTTGTCCTTGGCGGATATTTCCTTGAGCTGACTGTCCATGTCGTGCAAGTCTCCACTTGCCATTCTCCCTAGACAGCATTTGTATCGGTAGGTCCCAGTTCTCATTCTTGGATTCTTCATTGTAGTCGAATGCGGTCTCTGAGCTAAGGATGTGCCATCATCTGCAAGGGATACAAAAACTATCATGTGCTTTCCCCCCCAAGTGTGAAGACTTGAGGACATTTAATACATGCAAAAATCGATTTCGATGTTTCAATGCGAAAAGACGAAACAGATGGAGCCTCTAAGTAAAGTTTTGAAGCAGGAGGAACAGGGACTCATGTCTCAGAACGGTGGGGATATTGCATGGCATAGATGGCATGCAAACTAGCACAAATTCCATACAATACACATACAGGAGTGTAAATCAAAATTCAACACTAAGGATCATTTGAAAATAAAAGGTGATTTGGATAATAAATAGGAATCCTAATTTTTTAGGGGTACAACACTAATTTCATATTATGGTAGCTAGCTTTATGGGTTAGTTTTTCAGCACAGTTTTCGTAAATAAAATGGTATTACAACCCCATTTCCACTCACTCACCGATCACTAAGTTTGTAGAATCGTCCAGTTTTCCAACTCTGTCTCCATGGACTGCTTCCCCTGGAGAATGAAGGCCAAATAAAATAAAAACTGGCAACCGGGAGGGATGTAGGTCCATTAATTCATCATCTCGCTATTTTAAGTAATGCTTTTTTTAAGGTATAGGTTAAATAAAATATTTTTTTTTAGATGAGTTGTCAAAATGGTGTGGGTATTTAGGATATATTCTTAATGCATGCAAGCTTATTCAGAAGGGCATTCGTTATGAGCACATAAGGAGTGGGATATCATGCTAGACATCTATAAATAATTTATTATTATTAATGGATTTGACTCACATGAAGTGGACAGGAAAGCAACCCCATGAGGTGGTTCTGCTGTCCCAATGCTTTCTTGGAAATCCATTGCTTCTGCCAAAGGAAGAGGATGTATCGCAGAGTCCGCAGTATCATTCCATCTTGCATCTGGCTGTGTTGGTGTAGGTTCTTCCTTGTCTGCATTATTGTATGCAACTTATGGATGTGACACAAATAATAAAACCCAACGAAAGAAGATAGGAAATACTAATACTACGCTATTCTCCAAGTATTTGTAGTCACAATAAATCCGTGCAGTATCATGAAACCACGAAATTAACAAAACTCAAGCTCTTCATTACATTTTCCCATGCCAAACAGCCTCTCTATGAGATCAAAATTGCATAAACTTTTTCCTTTGAATAGCATGCAAGGAAGCATTGAGTGTCAGCCCCATTGGCCCGGTAAGAGCTAATTGAGAGCCCCCATCTTCGATATTGGAGCAGAGCCTCAATCCTCTTTTCCAATTCAAGTAAACATCAAACTTCAATCTGAATTCATTTTCATCCCTTCAGAATGTAAGTCGATGCTTAGGCGATGTTAAATGACCGATTTAGCATTTGTCAAGGATAACATTTGGAATGACTCGAGCAAAATGTGCTACTAAAAAATGCGGTACCTGTAGCATCCTCATGTGAAGACAGTAACCTCAATGGTGACGGCATGGAGAGCAATGTTGAAGCTGATCCGTTGAAAGAGTTTTCAGCAGATCGAAAACTCCCTGAGAAATCTGAAGCGGAATCGAGAGAAATCCAAAATAACATGCCCAATCGATGCTTCTTTCATGTCTACCTATACGAAAATATAAGATAACTAGCGAGTTTGTTTGCCCGAAGGGCAATCAAACTCGCTATGGTCGCGCCTTCGGCGCTTCCTTACCTTGGATAGTGATTAATTCATTCTTTTTTTGCGAAATGGGAAACACGTATTTAAAGTATGTCGCCATTGACACGAATGACATATGGGGTCGAATGTCTTCTAAAAAAATTAGTTTTAGTAATGGAGATACTAAGACACACGGATTGAACTTTAGATTTCTTGTGTCCTTTTTTGAAAGGGTGGAGAATACATTTTGAAAAACTTACCTCCGATAATCTACGCTGAGGATACATTTTTCAAAATTAGGATTTCTCCTCTACTCAGCCATCAAACAGAGTACCTGTATGATGGTAAACTTCTGAGGGAAGTTTAAATTTCGTGTCTCTGTTTCGTTGGATCAACAAAAATCAACAAATTTCAAAATTATTATTTTGAAATGTAGACTCATGGAACTCCATGCCACCCAGTTTCAGCCTTATATGTTTCCCCTTTTTCCTGACGATAAAAAATATATTTTGAAAATCAACCCATCCAAAAGCTGTGCTCTGGGGAAACGCTCAGCAAAAGTTTAATTTTTTCTTAAATCATCATCACGTCCGTTATGCGT